CCAAGCTTCTTTTATACCACAATCTTCCATCCACCACTACATACCCTGCCTTAACTGGTTCACCATCATTAATGCGCTTGATCAAAGATTGAATCTCTGCATCTTCCTCAATCTCTTTGAAAAGATCATGTAGCTGCACAACGGAGGGAATTGTTAAGGCTAATAGCGAAGTGCTTACTGATTCTAACGGTGGTTGCAAGCTTCGAGATAACCCATCTGCAGCCTTATTTTCGATACCTGGTTTATACAAGATATCGAAATCATACCCCAATAGGCGAGTTAACCAGCGTTGGTATTCCATTGTGACTTCACGTTATTCTAGGAGAAACTTAAGGCTCTTTTGGTCTGTGTGGACCACAAATCTTCGTCCCAGCAAGTAATGCTTCCACTTTTGTATTGCCAAAACGATAGCCATTAATTCTCTTTCGTAGACTGATTTCAGCTGTTCACAAGCTGATAATCCACAGCTGAAATAAGCAATCGGTCTATGCTGTTGCATAAGTACTGCACCGAGTCCGAAACCCGAAGCGTCGGTTTCAACGATGAACGTATCCGAGAATTTTGGAAGTGCCAGTACTGGTGCTGATATCATGGCCGCTTTCAGTTTGTCAAATGCACCACGTGCTTCTACAGACCATATGAATTTATCTCTCCTCAATAGTTCTGTTAATGGTCGTGCTAAGATGCTATATCCTTTGACAAACCGCCTGTAATATCCCGTAAGACCAAGGAAACCTCTCAATTCTTTCACTGATTTAGGAGTAGCCCACTTTGTCATTGCTTCAGTTTTCTTTGGATCTGTTGCGACTCCTGTTTGTGAAATGATGTGCCCGAGATAGTCAACTTCAGGCTGAGCAAACAAGCATTTCTTACGGTTGGCATAGAGAGTGTTCTCAGCAAATATCTTTAGCACCACTCTCAAATGTTCCGTGTGTTCCTCCAGACTTCTGATATAGACCAGCACATCATCAAAGAAAACCAACACAAATTTCCGGAGGAATGCTCGAAACAAATCGTTCATGAGAGACTGAAAAGTTGCTGGAGCGTTAGTAAGGCCAAAAGGCATCACTAAAAACTCGTAATGACCGTCATGGGTTCTGAAAGCAGTCTTCTCAATGTCAGAATCCTTCATTCTGATTTGGTGATAACCTGACCGTAGATCCAACTTTGAAAAGATAACAGCTCCATGAAGTTCATCTAGAAGCTCATCATCTATCATTGGTATTGGAAATTTATCAGGTATCGTTGCTCGGTTCAGTGCTCTATAATCTACACAGAAACGCCAGCTGTTATCCTTTTTCTTTACCAACAGAACAGGGCTGGAAAAACGGGCTGACACTTGTGCGTATAGTTCCTGCTTTAAGCAATTCTTTGACCATCCGTTCCATTACTTCCTTGTGCATTTGTGGGTACCTATAGGGTCGAACATTAATCGGACCATGCCCATTCAACAAGGTTATCCCATGTTCTCTTCCTCGCCTTGGAGGTAATCCGACTGGTACCGCAAATACATCAGTAAATTCCAACAAAAGTTCGGATATCATCGGAGGTAGCACAGACTCTATCTTCTCTGTTGCTTGATGATTACCAAACTCGAGTTGTACTCCTTTAGAAGTAATAGTGTGTCTTTTCAATAGGGTCTTTAGGGATAGATGTTTCTTATGGAGGTTCGTATCACCAAATAAGGTTACCCATTTGCCTCCATATTGGAATGAAAATTCCTGTTTCTTCCAGTCGACCAGACATTTTCCCAACGTTTCTAGCCATTGAACTCCTAAAATTATATCCACATTCCCCAACTCCAGTGATATGAAATCAGTTGTGAACTCAAGACCAGATAAGTTGAATGTCACTCCGGTACATAGACCCATGCCTTTGACTTGCAGACCATTACCCAACAAGATATCATGTTCTCGGTTAGTAGAAATAGCCAGCTTTGCTCTTGCTACCGTTGTTGGTGCGATGAAATTATGTGATGCACCACTGTCAAGCATCACAATGACTGGTGTTTTACCCACTAGGCCGAGAACTTTGGTTGTCTTTGGTGCTTCTATCCCCAAAAAAGCGTTTAATGACAAATGCAACAGCTCTCCTTGATTCGGTGTCTCCTCATCCAACAGCTCGAACATGTTGTCATCCAGAACTTCTACCTCAAATCCATTTAATACGGTAAGCACTTGTAAATCTTTCTTTGGGCAAATGTTTTCATGTCCCCTGAACCATTTAGCATCACATTTAAAACACAACCCTTTGCTTTGCTTTAAGTCCAATTCTGCGTCCGTGAACTTTTGGCGAGGACGAAGTGGAGGTCGTGCTTGATGAATACCTTCTTTCTGATCATTAGTCTTAATAGTTAACACTTTTTGTTTAAATGGTGTTGTATACTGAGACCGCTGATTATTGTAGAAGGTTGGGCTCCTTGACATCACCTTTGAACTGTTGTCCCATTTTGATACATCACCAATCACCTTACAGAAGGCACTATTCTCCATTTTTAACACTGCTACAATGTGATTAGCGAGACCTCTAGGTTCTTTCATCTTTATCATTTCTTTTAACTCCGGTGAAAGACCATTGTAGAATATATCTTCTAATCCTTTTTCATCAACTCCTGATACCTGAGAAGATAAATCCTCAAACTCCGAAACATAGTCCCCGATCGATCCCGTTTGTTTGATTGAATACAGTCGCTTTCCTGGTTCATCGTCTAAAGATTCAGCAAATCTAATCAACAATATGGCTTTGAAATCTCTCCATTCCCTGAATCCTTGACGTTTCTTTACCCAAACAAACCATTTCTTGACCTTCCCCAATAGTGATAAAGCAACTAGATCCAGCTTCGCTTCGTCATTATATCGACCGATATCGAAGAAATTTTCCACATCAGCTATCCACACATACGGAGAAATTCCTTCGAAAACCGGCATTTCGATTTTCTTCAACATACTATCTCTATTCGCAAGATCGGAAAATCCTGGTCGATAACCTAACGGAAATTCACTCCGGTTTGTTCCAGAAGAGAAATTTGGTACCTGATTGGGATTTTGTGAAGATCCAGGAATTTCGACTGGTCGAACACCTCCGTCTACGCTTGGTGGGAGACGCGATTGTAGTTGAATTGCCGTTAATATGGAGTTCAGCTTCCCATTCATTTCCTCTATGCAAGCTTCGGTTTGAGTATTCGATTCACATAGACGAGTAAAACCTCCTTGTAAGAACTCCAATTCCTCTCTCACCGTCGTCGCATCGAATTCGTCGGCTTCGCTTCCGACGTCTTTTCCGGCAGAATCGATCACGTCACGACGCACCATTTGATAAGATCTTTGTATCGAATCTCTCTGTAAACTCTCATATATTGAATAAGAAGAGAATTACAAGAAGTATCTGTAACTGTATCTCTACACACTCATGATGCGTATACAGACTCAGCTACTCTCTACATACCAATTATCAACAACCATACGTATTCTGTTAGAAACTCAACTATTTATACTTCTCACTTCTTAACTCCCTCTTCACGCGCCTTCACTTCCTCCTTCATTATCTTTCCTCACGCGCCGAGTATACACATTCATGGGCCTATCACAGCTCCGGTGACGTCTTCTGGATCTCCGCCACCTCTTTCCATATCGGACCTCCCCAAAATATCACCGTCGGTATACGACCTCTCCTCCATCTTGGAGCAGATGACCACCACGTGGGCCATGCAGCAACAACCTCGACCGTCGGATCATCCAGGGGCGGATGCAAGAAAAAAATTGTGGGGCAAACATAAAAAATGAGGGAAGAAAATGACTATTGATTAGGAAAAATGACTAAAACCTTGATATATTACAGAAATTTTATAAATTTTAGTGGGGTAAGTGCCACCTACTTGGCTCAAGTAGATCCGCCAATGGGATCATCACTTTGGCGTTCCCTCGTCATCAAATATGGTCGAATTCGTATTTAAATTGTTGGCTAGAATGTTAATATAAGAAGAAATGTGATTTTCAATTGATTCGAGGATTTATTTGCTTTTTTTTTTGGTTCGGTATATACTTTTTTCGAACCATATACATTTTTCGAATAAGCAACAGTTTTTTGTTCTGGTAAAGACTTCATACAGATAAGAAGCGTACAGAAAAATGATAAATACAGTCCGGATATCATGCGTAGTCAGAAGTCAGAATTCGGAAAAATACATGCATGTTGTTTTGGCCAGACAAAGCAGTGTGCAGAGTAATCTCCTATTAAAAGAATAACAACGCGTGCAAATTAGGGTTGATGAAACGACGTCTTACGATTCGTATATAAGATAGATAGTACTGATCTGGTGGAATAGAGCGTGCATCTAGAAAATGTAAATAGAAAATGTAGTATGTTTTCGGGTTATAGATTAGTAAAAGATGAAACCTGATCCAGATCAGAAAATAAAAGAGAATCGCTAACATGTAACTGTTGGGTAATTCTAGGTTCAATTTAAGCTCGCTCAAGAAGATTATAGTCTCCATCGACAAGAAGAAAATTACGATGGATTTATCGCACGTTTTTGTCCTCTGTGAAGCGTTAATTATAAGATGAATCGGAAGAAGAGGATTCATTTTGGTCAAAAGAAAAAAAGAAGAGGATTCATCGTCAACGGAAAAAACTGTGGACACAAGACGCTTTGACGCAACTCTCGAGTTCAAAGACTTTTACTTTCTCTCCAAAACATTTGTGTCTTTAAAATACATATTTCAAAACTAAAAATTGTTTATTCGATTGAAATAAACAGTTTCATCGAGTGTTTAACCCATTATCAAAACAAGAAGAGCAATTTTCTAGTAACAAATTCTGTTAACATATAGTATTTTTTTTTTTTTTGTATTTTAGAGGCTTGATTAATTTTCCAGAAATGTTACCACAAAATACTCGCACGATACAAAAACTATACAAGTGGGACTCACTAAGAGTAGTTAATCCCTGGTTGTCTCGTTTGGAGATTCTGTGGCCCTCTGTTACAACTTGAATCCACTTGCTCAGTGTCTATCCTCTATGCAAGACTTGCAAGACTTGCGAGGAATCAAGGATGAAAAATCTCCATCTTCGTCCTCAAGTGGACTATAGTCTTTACCTCTCCAAATCACGACTTGCTCCTTATCAAATGTCACCAGGATGCAAGGGACCAGATCCTTGGACACATGTAAACTCAGATGATGTTAGTGTTTGTTTTCAAAAAGAAACCGAAGCAGCAAAGCGAAAGAAAAGGGAAAGAAACATCTCACCCTAAGCTTTGCTCCAATTTTCTTGTAATCCTTCTTCTCTAGTCCCAAGCAATCAATCCGTACCAATTCACTTACGAGGAAAGCGTCTCTCACCATTGGAACAAGACTACCATAATAGCCATTCTTGGCTGAAACAAGAAAATAGTTGAGGCAAAAGAGCCTTTTAAGAATTTCAGCATTTAGAATTGGAAAACAAAAAAAGCATGGAAAGGGTATAGACCGAGTTTTGTGAGGGCAGGAACGGCAAGCCCTTTCTTTCTCATTGCTTTGGTCTCTTCGATGCTTAGACCATCGATAGTTGTTTTAATCAGCCTAGGATACACAGGTTCATGAGGTTTCCATAACATCAAAGGGATCTTGGGCCTTTTCTTGGGATCGTAGTTGCGACCTCTATATAACACAAGGGTACCACAGTGTTTAGAAACCACCTGTCCATACGTTTTATCCTGCAACAGCGCAAAAGCAACCGTGCTAAAGACTTATAAAGTATATGGCCCAAAAGACAAGGAATTATCCCTAGTTAGTTTCCATCAAAAGACGATGATGATGATACCTCAAGGTGGAAGATAACGTTCTTCATATCGAGAGTCGGGACTCCAAGACATTTGACTCGAACAGCTTCAGAGTGTTTCCAGTGATTATAGATATCATTGAGCATGTTGTGAGTCAAACCATCTCGCCCTACAAAGGCAACCACTTATTAGGCATAGACAATCATGGAAACTAGAAAGAAAGAAAGAAAGAGAGTCCATTTAAGCATAAAACATTACCGAGATTAATTTGCCTTTTGGTTTTGTTCCTCTGACACAGCTCCACCACGAACTTCCTTTCAGCTTCAGTGAGCGATGGCCCCTGTATCTTCTTCCTCACTTTCCTCCTTTTCTCCTCCAGCTTCGGATCCTCCACTCCATCCACTGACTCCACCTTTGGGTCTACCGCCAGCGCACACACTCCGGTCCATTCCCGGTCCAACCAATCCGGACCAAACGGTGAGTACTTGGGTTCTCTCAATCCAATTGGCCTCACGCTGGAACTACTCTCTGTGTAACTGAACCGGAAGTCGAACGGAAGATCTGAGTGCACCTTCTTCACACCTTCCAGGGACGAAGGTGGACGGTATTGCGGCTTCGGCTTCTTCTTCTTCTCCTGGTCAGGGTTTTCAGATATAGGCGGTGGTGGCTGAAAGTTGTATCGGTCTCGGAGTCGTGACGAGACGGAGACTGTTTCGGCGGAAGAAGCACGGTGAAGGCGGCGCGTGAGGAGGAGGGCGAAAGAGAATGAGATGGATGATGAATTCTGGCGGGAGACACGAATCAGTGACATCAGATTCCTTCCGTAGTTTAGGTTTCAGTCAGAAGAAGCTCTGGCGAGAGTTTGAAACTGGTCAAGTGACAAAGCAGTGTCCAGAGTAATCTCCTACTAAAAGAATAGCAACGCGTGCAAATAAGGGTTGCTGAAACGTCGTCTTACGATTAGTATATAAGATAGATAGTGCTGATCTTTGTTCAAAAAAACACGTCCGCCTAAACCAATCTGCTGGATTTTATACCGTCTATAACCGATTTCTTAAAAATAATCGGTGATTTTAATGAAAATCGGAAGCTTATTAAAATTAAACGGCCCGGCCCAACTGGAGTTGATCGTACACGGAATTCGATTTGGATCCACAATTAAACGGACCCGACCCAAGCTTATTTGCCATATATCCGATCTGTTCTATAAAAATATTTAAATAATAATATATTTAAAATAAAAATATAAAACTTTCAAAATTTAGTCAAAATGGCAATATTTTCTTTTTTTTAAAAAAAAATTTCTTAATTTATCAAGCTTTAATATTTATTATTATCAAATTTATAAATAAAAAATTACAAAAATTACATCTATATATAATAATTATATAGTTTATATGAATTATTATATATCTATATATACATAAATACTTATACCGGAGTGGAGCGGATATATATCCCTCTTATTTTTTTTAGTATATTTGTGATTTACTCCATTTTTAACGGATATTGAATTTTAATATTTGCTTTGCTCCATAAAATTACGGATATCTAAATTTTTCGAATCGAATCGAGACGAGTAACAGATTAAAGCAAATCTAACATATATTTTGCCCAACCCTACGTATGACCAATTACCATCATTATCCCGATATTTGGTCAAATAGTATGTGAATTTCGTATGGAAATCAATAAAGAATTAATATGGAAAAGGTTTAAAAACAAAGAAATGAAGGAAAACATGGAGTATATTATGGAGTAATGTATTGTTTAGTGAGTTTATTTTGAAATATTGATTTACAAGTATGTTTGGTGATGCCCTCTTATGAAATAAAGCATTCTCGGAGACATGAGGACGAGCAGAGATTAAACATTGGAAAGGGACAAAACAATTGAAACCAAAATAGAGTTCAACATCTCATAGCATTTTCGAAAACCACTGGAGGCTTACAGTTTTCTACAATTCTTCTTGATGACCTAAAATCAAATTGCTATCGTACCATATTAGCCCATATATATGGGCCAATCAGCCCACAATGCCGAACAATAGTTTTATGTTTACAGAATTACTCCTGGCCTCATAAGCATCCAGGAAATCCTTATCTCAGTCACTAGTCGTCAACAATGGAAGCTTGTGTACCCGAAGAAGTGCTTGAGCCGCTGCTTAATGTTTCAGATATATCTTATTCACTAGAGCAGTGCTTGCAGTTTCTTCTAGAGTCTTCCAGGACTGATTCAGACTGTTCTAGTTTTGCCAGATGATTCAAGCCAGTTTAGTTTGGTTGGTGTTGGTTTTTTGTTTTGTCTTATTCTTCCAAACGCCAAATCCCTTGTTGTTTTTTTTGTGTGTTTGTAGTTGGGTCTGTAGATGATTATTGGCTCAAGGTTCTGGTTTCAAGACTCTGTGTTGAAGGTGGTTGCTTCCCTGACCTCTTCTCAAAACTATACAGGGCCGATATAGTCCTAGGTAATGAGACATTTACATCAGAACACGCCTTTCTTTTGAGGATGGTCTCTGATATTGCAAATGAGCGATTAAAACAAGTGTCGATCCCCAAGGATACAATTCATCTCATCCTGGGACTATTCAAGAAATCAATTCGTGTTTTTGATTTTGTTTTGGGCAAAAAATCCGAGCTTCCAACTGGTTCAACTGTAATCGATGTAATGGGCTACTCTCTGACGGAAAAAAGGTCAAAATCTAGCTAAACTAAATTTAGTGGGCCAAAATAAATTCAGACTAAATTAGAGGGTCGAAATCTAACTGAAGTCTAAAAAAATTTAAATTTCTTTATCTTGACTATCTTGACTAAAAAATTATTAGTCAACACTAACGGGTTGCTAAGGTGGACGACATGTCATTATTTGATGTGGCAAAAGACACAAAACGACATCATTTTAACAAGTTTGTGGCCAAAATGATTTATTCAAAACAACGTCGTTTTGAGCTGGGGAAAATTAAAATCCCTGATTTCAAAACGAGTTTAGGGTTCTGTTTTCAATTTCAAAACCATCGGATTCTGAACCAGATCTCCTCCTTTTACGATAATCTCGATCAAAATATCCTTGATTCCTCCCAAACCTCCGAGGAAGCGAGTTCATCGTCATTCTGGATCTCTTCCAGATTCACTTCGACGAGCGATGATAGAAAAACAAAAATCTTATCAGACCGATTCTGAAAAAATTAGGGCTCTGAGACAAATCTACGTGCCCTTTTCTTATTGGAACCTATACAAAGCCCAATAAAAAGTATCGAACATTGTTTATGTATTTGTTCGACCGGGATTGTAACGATACCTACAAGATGTGAACCCACAACATCACTGTCCTTGAAAACAAAATGGACCTCAGCAGCATGATGAACAACAGGAACATAAAAATGTTGCTGCCAGACAGGATTTTCGGTGTTGCTAATGACATATGTTCTTCCTATGACTGCACCGGCAACTGATATGGATACATAAGGATCGCTTGTGACCTTCGATAATGTTGGTAATGCTTCCAAACACAGCACCCAATGTATTATTGAACATGTCCATGTTTGGGAGATTATTTGCACGAGAAAACCAATTATCCAGATTCCCATTGTAACAAGAGGACCTTCAAGGAGGCTTTGCCAAATGGCACAATCTGCATACTAGGACAATGCGGAGGTGTATAGCCATAATGAGTAAAGGGATCTAACCTGCCCGAGTGTGACAAATATGAATGAGTTGAGAACGAGTTGTAATGGTTTCCTCCATAGAAGCCTCCCTGCCAAGTTAGATAATGAAGCGGTGGCGAGTAAGGATAAGGTTGGGGAGTATCTGAATTGGGATCCGGTCTATAAGGAGGAGGAGGAGGAGCTCCAAGGTAACAAGGGTATGGAGATTGCCAACCATAATTCTCCATTGTTATCAACACACAAACAAAAACAGCTAACTCTTCTAATCAATCTCAAATAGCTTCAGCACAAGTAAAATTGCATCCGATCAACAACATAGTGCTTGTAGGATCCACAATTGTGGTGTGGTGGGTGATGAGGGTTTCAAGTTTTACCCTAAATGAAATCAATACCCGCAAGTGCACAGCTGATCGATTGTAGTACTTAGGAGGTTCTTTTCTACAAAAGCCTTCGAAAGAAATATGAAGTAAAGAAGTCTAGAACCAGGCAATTTTTTGGGGGTTTTGGTGGTGTCTTTAAAACGTAAAAATTAATCTTAACGGAAAAATATAGAAATCAAAATGATCTCATAACTAAACCTACTAAAAATCGACTAAAAACGGAAAAACGGCTAAACCTAAATTGCTTTGGATGAAAATCGGCTAGAATGAAGAAAAGTAACCTAATGACTAAAACTTGTATTGAAATCGGCGAAAACTTATAAAGACGAGACGCTGGGTTTTCAGAGAAATTCTCTCCGGGGGATAAACGATTCAAAACATCGCTAAAAACTAAATTTAAAAACCCTAGCTAAAACTTTTAGAACTCGAGTCACAAACGTATGAATACGCCACTGTCGTGATCATAACCAACTATCTGTCACAACCCTGACCAGTAGGTTTCCACTCTGGCACTGGAAGGGAAAAGATGCAATATTGCTTAACACTCGTCAACATTCACAGCCCATAGGTAGGTTTCCACCCCTATGGTTGATCTGCTCTTCTCAAACTAGATCTAGCCCCGGTGAATACTTTCGCAACACCAAGGACCTAGATAAGATTGTAGTTCATGACGCTACTTCCATGCATTAAAAATAAGTTTAGAAGAAAAATTTCTAGGATTCGGCTTCAATAGCTAATGGAATCCTCATCTCACATGTATAGCCCCCATCGAAAATCTATTAAACCCAACAATAAAACTACTCAGACATGATTAAAGAAAGCAAAAACATTGTATTGAAAAGGTGAGTAGAAATTGATATTGGAGAAGAAACAAAAGGGTTCAAGAGATAGATCTTTATCTCCCTAAACTTAAAAGAAAGAAAAGTATTGAAAAACCTAAAAAGTATTCCTAAGCATAAAAGAGCATACGACTTAGGGTTCCTAAAACATGTATTTATAGTACAAAAATCATTTCTGGGCGTCACTTAGGGTTTTTTCAAATGAGAGAATCATTTTGGGCTCGAAAATAGGCTTCGGGATCGGACAAACCATTCTCCGCGGTCAGAAAGGACGGGACCGGTGTGAAATGGGTGTTGGCCGCGGGTAAGAATGCTTGTCGGCTGGTTTACGGGACATCTCGCTCTTCGCGTAACTTTTGATTGAACCGTTAGATTGCCATTCTGTAGAGTGTGCTGGAAATCTGGTAGTTCCATCTTTAATGTCTCCAAATTTGAGCTGGATCAGACGGTGATAATGTCTTCATTTGAGGGTGAACTTCTGACGGTTTGACTCTGAGCTTAAATCTGATCTTCTATCCATTTTGTTAAGATTTTTCTTAAGTTTCCTGAAAAGAATCTTGAATCTACAAATACTAGAAAAACACAATAAAAACACTTGAAAGCAATAAAAAACATAGAAAAGGTATTTCAAAACGATCCATAAAAGTGGTCAAAATACGGTGTTATCAACTCTCTCAGACTTAAATCTTTGTATGTCCATAAACAAAACAGAGATCCAATCTGGCAAAGTGAAAAAAAAAATAGGGAATGCCCAAATCTCAGAGACATGAACTCCTAAAATGGGACCATAGATCGTACATCAGTCTACAACTTAGTCTAGAAAATTCTCACCAAGACACAAAAGATACTAGTCCACTTTTTCCGTCATGCAAAACTTAAACAATCTAAATCTCGATTCCATTCAACTAGCTCTGTACATTCATTAAGT